CCCCCAAGATCCCATTTTTTGCCCGGCAATCTTGTCTACTTCCCATAATCAGGAGGATAGCTATATGTTTTTCTTTGGGATCACCTTCTTATTTAGCTTCTTTAGGAGATCAAATTATAGACTCACTGACCTTTATTTATCTCTAGAAACCAATTATGAGTGAGTACATCCCATGTTCATCTTTTTGGGTCTGGGTTACCTCACTCAGGATAGTGTTTTCTATTTCCATCCATTTGCATGCAAAATTCGAGAAGTCATTGTTTTTTACCGCTCAGTAGTATTCTAATATGTATATATTCCACACTTTCTTCATCCATTCTTCCATTGAAGGACATCTAGGTTGTTTCCAGGTTCTGGCTATTACAAATAATGCTGCGATTTCTTAATAATCAAGAAATGAACAAAACACGGGATACAGGAGCTGGGGCAGGGAAGGGAGGTGTGTTGGAAGTAGATGGCTATGAAGTGCCATCAGCTACTCTTGCAGAGGTGGGATGGTGATGCAGGAGCTGAAAACAAGAGTGGACATTTTGTTCAGTGGAGGAAAAAAGAGACTCAGAAAGAGCATGGGGGAAACACAGACTAGAAGAGGCAGGTAGTATAAATGGGGCCAGGAAGGAGGGTACTGGGGCAGTGCTGAATGCTAGACCAGAAGAATATTTTAAACAAAGGGGAAACAACCAGACTGAACGTTCTAGAATGGTTACATGTGTAACTCAGAGCAGAGTGTGTACGGTGTCTGGAAGATGGGAAGCCTTCCTGAGACAGCCCTGAGAGAGGAAAGCAGCGATAGAGAATCATCACAGCGACCTGGCACAGGGCTGTGGGTGCTTTATTTGTGATGAAAGGGCTTTTGTTTTTATGATGGGAAGACTTAGGTCAGTTTCTGCCACAGTAGGACTGTTAGGAAGAGAAAGGGAGATCCGATCACAAAGGAGACAGAAAAGGGATTGGGGCGGCGGTGGGGGCGAGCAGAGTCTCAGGAAATCTGAGAAACAGTCCCTTGATGCATTGCAGGGTAGAGGTGCTGGCACCTTCGGAACCGGGTCTTTAAAGGACACTCTGGTTAGAATGTCAGTTGGTGTCTCCTAGAGATGGCCAGTTAGCTCCATTCCTGTTTGTCTTTCAGCGGAGGACCCTCTCTCCAACTTCCACTCCCCGAACTTCCTGAGGCCCCCCGAGGTGGAGATGAGAGGTTCTGAGGATGTGGCCGCTGGAACAGTGTTACAGCGGCTGATCCAGGAGCAGCTGCGCTATGGCACCCCGACTGAGAACATGAACCTGCTGGCCATTCAGCACCAGGCCACGGGGAGTGCAGGGCCAGCCCACGCCACCAACAACTTTTCTTCCACGGAAACCCTCCCTCAAGAAGACCCACAAATGGTCTTCCAGTCAGCCCGCCAGGAGCCGCAGGGTCAAGAGCACCAGGGGGACAATACGGTGATGGAGAAGCAGGTCCGCTCCACTCAGCCTCAGCAGAACGACGAGGAGTTGCCCACATATGAGGAAGCCAAGGCCCAGTCTCAGTTCTTCAGGGGACAGCAGCAGCAGCAGCAGCAACAGCAGCAACAGCAGCAGCAGCAGCAGCAGCAGCAAGCACAGGGGCCCCTTAGCCACACTTACTACATGGCCGGAGGTACCAGTCAGAAGTCCCGCACAGAGGGGAGGCCCACAGTGAACCGGGCCAACAGCGGACAGGCACACAAGGATGAGGCCCTGAAAGAACTCAAGCAGGGCCACGTCCGATCCCTCAGTGAGAGGATCATGCAGCTGTCGCTGGAGAGGAACGGAGCTAAGCAGCACCTCCCCAGCTCAGGCAACGGAAAGGCCTTTAAAGCTGGAGGAGGGCCGTCCCCAGCCCAGCCCGCCTGTAAAGCGCTGGACCCTCGTGGTCCTCCACCCGAATACCCCTTCAAGACAAAGCCAATGATGCCCCCAGTCAGCAAGAACCAAGACCACGGATTGTACTACAGTGACCAGCACCCTGGAGTGCTCCACGAGATGGTCAAACCCTACCCTGCACCTCAGCCCGCGAGAACAGAAGTGGCCGTCCTGAGGTATCAGCCACCCCCAGAGTACGGGGTCACCAGGTAACTATTAAAGCTCAGCTTTGTAAAGCTCAGCCATGCATTTGTCGTTTAGATTTTGTGAGGCATCTTGGCTTTTTATCAAAACCTTTGCTTGTCCATAGTATTTAATGAGCCATTTGAGGGCTTGGATACGCAGAAGGCGGACACTAGGAACGTCTTCCGTTCTTAGCAGTGGGCGGCTGGGGATGAGTGAGAGTCTTGATTCTTGAGGAATGTTATTACTGTGTGTGTGTGTGTGGTATACATACATAGGTACATGTGGAGACCACAGGAAACAGTGGGCTGTCTTGAGTGCTATTGTTCTGGTACCATCTACTTTTTTTTGCTGTATTTTAGACAGGGTCTACCCAGAACTCCCCAGTTAGGCTAGGCTGGCTGGTCAGGGAGTTCAGGATCTACCGTCTCTGCTGTCTCTGCCGTCTCTGCTGTGGGTTCTGGGTCCTGAACTGCTGTCCCTACGCTTGAAAAGCAAGCATTGGACTGACTGAGCCATCTCTCCAGCCATGAAATTGTTCTTTAGTTTTTTTTGTTTTATTAAATATAGACCCATTCCCCCATTTTCCTTTCCTTTGTTTATTCAGTCAGGGTCTTCATGAACATTTACACACTCCACACACCACACACACACTACTCACACATACACACTCCACACACACACCACACACACCACACATACCACACACATTACACATACTCACACGCAGACGACACACACTCAAACATATCACACACCACATACATCACACACACTCACACATCACACACACACATCACTCACACCACACACATATCACACACACCACACACTCACACATATCACACACACACCACACACACATCACATTCACACACACACCACACACTCACACACATCACACACACCACACACACCACACACTCACACACATATCACACACACCACACACATATCACACACACCACATACATCACACACTCACACACACTACACACACCACATACTCACACACACGCAGTCCACACCCACCCACACATATCACACATACTCACACACACACCATACACATCACACACACTCACTCACCACACACAAGAAAGCAAACTCTGGATGCGGGGTGGAGGCATTAGCCAGACCATGGGGTTCTTTAGTCCCCTCCTCACTCGGTAGATGTGAAGCTGGGCGCAGAGGTCTGAAGGTGTCCAGAACATGCAGCCGAAGGAGCAGGGCACAGCTGCCTGCATCCAGCCTCTTGCTCTTTCACTGTGTTTCATCTTCCTGCCTTTTAGTGTGAGCGTGCCTTCAGATTGCCAGTCAGGTTGAGCAGTTCTTCTTGTGCGAGCCTCTGTGCATCCTTGGTCCACAGATACAAATATAGTCCCTTTCCCGGAGGTCCTTGAAGCCTCGTCTTTGGGGAAGCCAGTATCGGAACACACGACTGCCATTCTGTGTGGTGTTCAGTGTGGAGATATGCAGAAAGTGCTACCCAATTACATGGGGGTAGAATGACTCAAACCAGAGGATGAAGGATGCTTCCCAGAGGAGGTAACACTGACTGGGGTCTCAAAGGATTAATGCAAGCTGTAGGTCGAGGTAGGAAGGACACCTCCAGAGACAGGAAAGCCATGGGAATGGTAGAGAGCCCAGTGGATAGATGTAGTGAGATGTGACAGAGAGTGTATTTGGTTGGGGATCTCAGGACATTATGTTAAGGAGTGTAGTGTTGGTCTGGAGGCAGTGAGAAGTGTGGTGTTCTCAATCAGAGATACGTGTTGGTGTTTAGTGACTAGCTTCAGTGATGGCGCAGGCTGGTGAGACTGGGGGACGGGGCCCATAAGGCCTTTACAGGAAGGGTGCCCAGGAACAGAGACGGCAGGAGGAGGGCAGCGGTGTCTGCTAAGAGAGTCAGGGAACTAGAACTGAGAAGACTCTGATGGGTTAGGCCTCAGAGGAGCAGGGCATGTAGCCTCTGGGGAGAATGTGGGAGTGGCCAGCAGTGGAGGGTGCTGGGCTTGTTCGGGAAGAGCAGAGCCCCCAAGAAGACAGGTGCCGCCCGCTATTATTGGACTGGACGTGCCATCATCGTAGAGGGTTTGTCTGTGTAAAACTGAATAAGCTAGCGTCCCCGATGTGACCCCAGTGGCTGGGTACAGGGTCCACCTGGCTCTGCATCTTCTAGAAGGGGCTGGGTCATTTGATTTGAGATGGATTTAATTGTTATCCTTCTGTTACTGTAACCAAACACCTGGCGAAAGGCAACACGTAGGAGGAAGAATTTACTTTGGCCCCGTGGTTTGAGAGATGGTTTCTGTCATGGATGGGAAGGTGCAATGGAGTTGGGGCAGGGCAGGGATGTGGACCAGAGTGCAGAGACCCTGGGGGTGGCAGCCCTCGGATGATTTTCTACTTAGGACCCTTTTTATTTAGTCTGGAATGCGGTGCCCCTCACATTCGGTGTGTCTGCCCTCTCTGTTCTCTGGGAACCCTCACACAGACACACCGGGGTGCGTCTCCTAGGTGAGTCCGAGTCCAGTCTAAATGCAGAGGAGCCATCGCAGTGTGGAACGCTAGCTGTGACGCAGCCTGGCCAGCCTGAGCCCTCATGAGCAGAGAGCACACGCAGTCTTCCTAACATGGCGTAGCCTGTCTTCGATGGAGCCCCGGAGTTCTCTTTATACTATATAAAAGCCATCAGTTCCCCCGTGTTTATCGCTTTGTCGTTTCGTAGATGACCGCAGACATTCCTCTCAGCCTCTGGAAGGTCTTGACAACAATGGAAATCTTTCCTGATGAGCTTCCCTTCTCCCTCGCTGGCCTGCAGTTTTTATGGTTTTGTTTTATTTATGTGTGTGGTGCTTTGCCTGCCTGTACGTCTGCACTGCTTGAGTTTCTGATGGCCCTGGAGGCCAAAGAGGGTGTCAGGGTCTCTGGAACTGGAGTTATGAACAGTCGTGAGCCACCATGGGGGTGCTGGGAATTGAACCCTGGTTTATAGCACAGCCTGAGCCCTTACAGAACCATTTCTGGTGGCACATAACCGGGACCCTCCTTGTTTCTTGAGGTAGGTCGGTGGGAGTGAGGCACTTCCTGGAGGCAACCCTGGTGACTCGTGGAGAATCCCATTTGTCTTAAAGTTCTGAGGTCAGAAACAAGAAATGCCCGAGGGATTACAGTGAAATTTGCATGCCACATCAAAGTATCTGAGAAGACATAGTGGACTGGCCAAGGAGACGGGCTGTGGGGCACAGCCGCAGCGAGCCAGCCTGGCTCAGCAGTCAGCCTTTGGCCAGCTAGGTAAACAAGCTTGTCTTCACACAGCCTGCTCCAGACATGTTTCGCAGAGCCTGATCTCCAGGCTTTGAACCTGGGCCTGTGTTGTGTGGCATGATGCATGACCCAAGAGACAAGCTACGCTCCTGGGAATCTCATGGACCCGGCCTTTTCTGGTGCTGGTCATTAATGGTGATGACTTAGGAAGCTGCGTGCTATATACCCAATATAGAGTTCTGGACCAGGATGGGTCCTGGCTGAGGTCCCTCGGCCATCTTCCTGCCTGATGCTGCAAGAAGCCCTTCTTGGGATATAATGGATACCTAGCCCAACCCATTATGTTTTGAGACGGGCTCTTTCTTGCCTATAGACAGGTCTGAAGAGTGTGTGCTAGTACTTGGGAGCAGTGTCTACCTCCCGGTCCCTCATGGGGCTCTTCATCTGTCCTGCTGCACTAAAGGGGGGCTCCTGGTGCTTGATGCCATATCCTTTACGTCCTGGGTGAACTGCTAAGAGCAGTCACTGGCCCCAGCATTGCCGACCTGCAGCACCGTGGTCCTTTCTGTGAATGAGCTCATGTAGCTGAGAAAGAAAGCGCTCAGACAGAGTACCAGGGTCAGGGGCTGCTTCCAGGATGTGGCTCTGTTCCTCCTCGGGCTCCAGTTTGCTTTTCCTTCTCCTGGCAATGAAAGTGGGTCACACTGAGGGCAAGATGAGACCAGGTCTGTTCTTGTGAGGACGGTGACTCCCTCCGCCCCCAAAGCAAACATTTAGTTATTAATTCTGACTCACTCCTGGTGACTTGGCTTCTGTAGTGTGTGCTAATGGAAGTGAAGGCATGAACGGATTCCAGGCATGGCTGGGGTTTCTACCAGAGCAATGCAGAGTATATTAGTCAAGATGTGGCTTTGTTTTCCTAAGAAATCTGTCTATGCTTAAAAAGGAAGGAAGGAAAGAAGGAAAGAAGGAAGGAAGAAAAAAGAAAGAGAAAGAAAAAGAAAAGAAAACTAGAGTTGCTAAAAATTACATATTAATCTCATATTTCCCAATAAACCACTAACATTGTAAAACATGGGATTTACAAGCTAAATGTAATAAAATGGTTTTTATTCCTATGATTTACGATTTCTATACTTTAATCAGAATCATGTATAACATAACTAAAACATGTTTTCTCTGTTTCGATTTTCCATTACAATGTGTGGCACTCTGTCACCTTGGTGCCGCACTCGGTGGAGCACTAGGTAGACTGTGGAGCATTGTGGAGCACTGTGGAGCACAGTGGCCCAAAGGCAGAGTGTCCCCAGGGTTTACCGGTGCAGACACCTAACATGGCTTATAGTCCTTGGCCTTTACAACAATGTTAAGAAATGGGGACTAGGGGGTGGGGAGATGGCTCAGTGGCCAAGAGCACTGGCTGCTCTTGCAGGGGACCCCGGTTCAGTGCCTAGACCCTCATGGTTGCTCACAACTGTCTGTATCTCCAGTTCCAGGGAATCTAGCACCTCCTTTTAGTCATGGGCACTTGTATGCACTTGCTCCAGACACACATGCAGACAAAACACATCAGTAAATCTTACAAAAAAAAAAAAAAAAAAAAAAGGGAATTCAGTTATAAAGCCCATCGTTGTGTAAGTAAAACCTGACCTGAAGAGAGAGGTTCCAGTGACAACAATGGCCAGCAGATTGGTGGTGCAGGAGCCATATCAAGCCCAGGTCCCCATACTGCACATGGCACCCCACTCCTCCACCC